TAGGGGTGGGAGGGATTTTTGTTAGTCCTTTCCCTTTCTTTTTTTTTTTTAGTTAAGGGGGGGGAGAATTGGTTTTAATACCAATGGGAAGGGAAAGTTATGAATAGCTTTCTCTTCAATTTTTGATTGGATTTCTCCCTGGGAGAGTCTTTTAACAGAATGTTTATATGTTTGTATTCTATATAGCAACAATAAAGAAATTGTATACAAAAAAAATACTATAAGGCAATTGTCAACTGCATTAACCTAATAAAGTTTGGGTATTACCGGGCACTATGAGTTGGTGAGCAGGTACCTCAAGTCACTGCTTGATGGATGAAGGGACACTTTACAATGTTAATATGTTTATTAAGCATGCTAAGTTAGTTAAAAATATATCCGCTGTTTGAATAAATTATGATCACTGTAGGGTTAAAGCTTTTATAATACAGAGGCTCTTTTTTTCCCTCGATGTTGAACATCTCAAGTTGCCATGCCGACATACACTATTTTACCAACCCCTTAAGACCATGTGGATGACTCCTAATACACGGAGTATGTTTTACACTAATCTAAGCGTCTTCAGATCTGTAGATGAGCCTGCTGTGTGCATTAGTGTTTCAGTAATTGCTGGATTTCCAAGAAAAATGGGTGTCAAGGATGCAAAAGTAATAAGGTCTAATACTGGAATTACCTGACACTCTTGGATGTGGATTATGAAATCTAAGACTGAGGCAGGAAAGAGGAATTTATTTAATTTATCTTGAATAGGATGAGTCCTGGGTCTAGCACAGGCAAGCTCGTAGACTATGATGTTTCACAGTTAATCTTTTATTATGGGGCTTATCCAGCATTCAAAGGACTGCACTACTAACCAATGAGGAATTTCTGTAGGTTGCATAGAGTGAATTGAACAATGGATTAGTGGTGATATTGATTTAACCTTATGCATTTTTCATCATTATTTTAATCCTCACTTGCCCAAGCCTGTGTGCAGACTTGAAAATTAACAGTTAAAAGAAAACTAAAAGATTTGTGTCGTTTTTTTCTTGATATTTGATTAATTCACAGTTCATCCACCTTTTTTTAAAAAGGGTTTTAATTTACAGCTTTTCTGATTTTTTTTTTTTTTTTTTTGAAGCTCTATAATCTCTTTTCAAATGTAGAAATGGCAAACAAAGTTTTTTTTTTTTTTTTTTTAATCCTGCAAAATCCTTTTGAAAGAGATAAACTAATATGTTCTGCTTCTAACCATGCAGCATGAAATTGGTGACTCTTTTCAGACAAAGAACCTGCTGGGAGGGGTAGGAAGGGCCAAAACTCAGGTTTCCCCTGTCTTTGGTTTTCTACCAAGTGGATAAGGGGGACGTAGTAATGGGAAAATACGAGGGAAGAAGAGGTTGTGATCAGCTGACTGACTAGATTGCTCCAATGGTTATTGATATATTATGAATTATGTTCCACACTGGTCGGTCAAAGATCTGAACTATAGGACGCCACGCCATGGGGGTAGAATGGAGGACAAAGGTACCAAGACACAGGGTGACCTAGGGCATGCATAGGGGGTGGTGCTCACAGGATGAGACCTCCATCCATCGGCAGTGTGTAACGGGCAGGGTTGACCAAAGGATGATCTACGGTCACAATATAGTAACTGATTTTATTGGTCATGTGATGCTTTGCACTATAGAAACTCTGTGAAGCGGCCAGATTCGGGCGGAATGTATCCCATGTTGGTTGTATTTTTCTTTTTGTATCTTTTGTGTTTTGCTCAACATTTTGCTAAAATAAAACATTTTGAATGGAAAAAAAAATATTATGAATTGTTAGGTCAAAGAGAGGGAGGTAACTCTAGTCGCGGGGTCCAGGTTTTCCTCCATTTATCAACTTGATGTGGTTTTCAGTTTTAAAAAACAAACTGTTACACTTTTGTTTGAACTGCAGAACAGATAGGGTTGCAAAACTATGTGGCAGCAATATGAATTGATGGCCACTTGTTTTTTTTTTCATGTTTTTGTTAAGCACTGCTTCATATGGATTTTCAGAACTGCTATCCACAACACTGTAAACCCACTGGTAGGGTTGGGCTCAGAATCTTTCTGCCTTTGGGCAATCCCACCATTTCTGTCCAACAATGCCGGGAGAGGGGCAAACTTCAAAGCAGTTTTGAGGATAAGTGGGAAGGGACAGTTACAAGCAAAATTGGTACCAAGTACCACCTAAGTAACAGTTTGTAAGAGATGGCTTAGACTGTTGCTGCATTCCTCCAAATGGGTATAAGAAATCGTGCCAGGGGCATTGGGCTCAGAGCTGCACAATTGCTCAGAGGGTTTAGAAGGATTATCTTGGTTGTGGGTCATTAGATTTACGAAATGTTTAAATTGATATCTAAAGAATACCTTACAGGGAAGTCGAGTCTGTAGCCTAAGGAGTTGTAGGATTTTAAATACATTTTTGTCTTCAATTTATACCAAAAAAAATGAAATCTGTTTCGATCGGTTTAATCGATGAAACGGTAATACTATGCAGTGAATGTATCTCTGTGGATACTAGAAAAAATAATTCAGAATAAATCGCCAGGACCAGATGGTTTATGCCCACGAGTCCTCTGTGAGCATAGCTGTATTAATAGCCAAGCTGTTCCTAATTTTTTAAGGTACGTTACTGACTGGAATGGTACCAAAGGATTGGCATAGAGGAAATGTTGTACCAACATTCAAAAAAGGGTTGAGATATAGAACAAGAATCTACAGACCAGTCAACCTTTTTATATTAATAGTATGTACATTTTGTTGTGGTAAAGGACTATATTAAAAAATGTGTCTGTGAAAATGGCATCACAAGTAACAACCAGCATGGAATAATGAAAGACCATTCCAGTCAGACCAATCTGTACAAGTTCTATGAGGAAGCGAGTAGTAATAAAGATGGGGGAAAGCCAGTGGAGTGTACAGTCAGGTTGTAGGATGTAAAGTAAGCTTACATGGAGTTTAAGAGCACATTTTAAACTGGGTGGTGTTACTTCTCACCCATAGATGGGAAAAGTAAAAAAAAAAAAAGCAAAGCATGAATGACTAATGCCAGTAAGCTAACTATATGCTAACCATGACATCCAGTTAGAATTTTCTTTACTGTGCACAAGCTAGTACAAAGTGAATGTATGCAGTTCTGAGGTGTCAGAACATTAGGCCCAGGAAGTAATAATTTTTGACGCATTGGCTACTGGTGTCCTAGAATTGTTCATGTTGCTATTAATTTCTGATTGCATATTGTCTGCAACTATATTACTACAAAAGCGTTAATATATTTCTGTAACAGTTAATATGACTTTATGGTAATTATATGTTTCTTTGAGTAATAATACAGCAGCTGCTTTTCCCACACTTTCAAAATTGCAAATAGAATTGCCTAATGCAAGCTAATTGCATATTTAAACACATGAGAATGAATGAACTTGACAGAATTTTGTGCATCTGCTGTGACACTTCTGAAAGAACAGTTCTCTGAATTGTAATCTTTTCTTCCAGGCCCCTCCATACATAAGGGAATATGCCCGAGAATATGTCGGTGGGAGCAAGACTCCGTCATCAAAGGTAATCGGCATCTTTCAAGCAAGGTTGAGGTTCTCAGTATATTAAGAGGACTTGCAAGGTTTATTTCACTTATTTATTACACAAGAACAAAATGCAATGAGACTGTTAGAAGCTGAGGGATATTTTATTCAAAAATGGAAAGTGGAGTTGCAGTCCATAATGGCCAATCAAACTCCTTGATTAATTTTGCTAAAAATGCCCAAACCCACATCATCTTTGCACAATTGTCATCTAGTTTTGCACGCCTTTTAACATGTACGTCCAGTTGGCTCACTGACAAAAGCGGGTAGAGGTTTTATCTTCTCTCACTAATAATTTATCTTTGTTTATTTCTGTCTTGCTTGTTGCTGTTGCAGATTTCCTCTCAGTGTTTAGTAAAACTGTTGTCACCATGACCTCAAATGAGGCTTCATTTCTAACAGAGAGGTGGATAGTTGTAAAACCTGACAGGGATTCTAATCCTGCTTTCTAGTGGCTGGGCTTCCATTTTAAGTTACTAAAATCTTCCTAAGGCTTTAATTGGCTTCCATCTTTCTTAGAATATTTAAAATTATGTGATTTATCAAATGGTCGAATTTAGAGGTGTGTGTGGGTGCCTAATGCCTCTCTGGGACTCAGTTGGTAACATCTTGGTGTCTGAGTTCCCAGTTGTTACAAGGGGGTAAAAATTAGGGACGCACCGATACCAGTAACGTTGCCGATGCAGAGTATTTGGGCGAGTACTCTCACAAAAGCTCCGATGCCTAGCCCGATACTTTCAGTATCAGGAAGCCGGCTCCATGCTCTCTCGTCACTTGTAATGAGAGAGCATGGAGCTGGCTTCCCAATCAATCAGGAAGCCGGGCAGCGTGTAATGACGCGCAGCCCTGCTTCCTGATTGGTCGGAAGCTGGCCAATCCGGAAGCCAGGCGCCGTGTAATGTCGGGAAGCCGACCCTATGCTTCTCGTTACTAGGTGACGAGAAAGCATGGAGGCGGCCTCCCGGCCAATCAGGAAGCCGTGCGCCTCATCATTACACAGCGCCCAGCTTCCTGATTGGCCAGAAAGCCGGCTCCATGCTTTCTCGTCACCTAGTAATGAGAAGCATGGGGATGGCTTCCCTGCTAATCGGCAAGCCGTGTGGTCAGTCTTTACACGCTGCCCGGCTAATCAGGAAGCCAGGTGGCGAGTCATTACACGCCGCCTGGCTTCCTGAATGGGACATCCGGTATTCTTTATCGGCGAGTACCAGAAAAAAGAATAATCAGTACTCTCGTACTCTATACCGAATTACCAGTATCTGTGCATCCCTAGTAAAAATAAATATATATTTCTCTGAAAGAATACCAACATCATTTATGACTACGCTGAAGTCATGTTCTGATGGGATCATCCTTGATCGTGAAAAAAAGAAAGCCACAAGTAAAGGGAAATTGCAGTCGTGGGGTAAAAGTTTTGATTTTCACAGTTGATGAACATAAACCCATTCGACATCTATGTAATGTATGTCTGTGATTTTGGAAAGTATCCATGAACGAACAAACAATGGAGTTGTTTCATAGCAAACCATCACAATAGGTAATCTTTTTGCTATTGTAAGTTTAAAAAAAGCGTTAAGGTGTATCTAAAGCCAAAACATTTTACATTCTGGATAGAGCAGTTAGGAATAAAGCAAGCAACTAGAAATAATATTCTGTGCTGCCCTTCTGAGTCTTAATACACAATATTTGAAGCCCACGGTGGTTTTTCACTTCTGACCTTTTGTACTCCCGGAGTAAAACTGCACAGCTTTCAATTCTCTTTTTTCCCTGCGAGTACAGGATGACCTGGACTTGCTGTCCTCACAAACTCGGACTGAGTTTCCATTTGGAAAGAGTCAGAAGAGAAGCAGATTGGCTTCATCGCCCTCGTCTTCGACATCTCAGCAGGAGCTGACGCAGCAACGTACTGAGCAGGCACTACGAGAACTCTTCCAGCATGTCCACAACATGCCGGATTCTACTAAAAAGAAAAAGCTCCTTCGCCAGGTAGGCCATTTATTAGAGGTGCAGCCAAGTAAAATTTCAAAACCAAAATAAAAAAAATTTCAGGCTGAAACCGAAAATTGTTTTTTATTTGAACTTTTTTCAAATTTTTGTAAAATATTTTTTTATTAAATATTTTAATTTTTTACTTTACTGTTAGGGGCTTCGGGGAAATATTGGGGATCTAAACAGACCCCTGATATCTCCCTTTTAAAATAGATTGAGAACAGAGTCCTCAATCTCTTTTTCTGCAGCCCCGGCTGCAGAGCTCTCCTAAAGCGTGTACTCACGGCGCCATGTCCAAGCCACACCCCTCTGATATTTCCCTTTTAAAATAGAAAAAGAGATTGAGGACACAAAGTCCTCAATCTCTTTTTCTGCATCCCCTGTTATCAATGAACAGGAATCCTCTATACTGAGTGTTCCTGTTCATTCATAACATGAGGACAGAGTGTGTTTACTATAACCACAATCGTGAATGAACAGGAGGTGATGTAGATCACTTCCCATTCATTCATAATTGAGGCTATAGTAACCATACTCTGTGCTCAATTATGTACAAACACTCAGCTATCACTGACTGCTTGTACCCGCTCTCCATCCTGACAGCTGTCACATGAGGCTGAGCGAGCGGTACGGGGAGGAGAGCTCGATCTGACAGCTGACTCCACCCCTGCACGTCCGGCCTCCTGTGACAGCGCTGGCTCTCGCCGCCCACTCCACTCTCTTCTGATCTGTGAAAGGAGGCTGAGCGCTGTGGGGAGGAGAGACGCCGGCCGCTCACAGCGCTCTCCTCCCGCAGCGCTCAGCCGTCTGTGACACTTTATCTCCTCCCCGCTGGGACACAGAGCAGCGGCCAGCGGGGAAGAGAGAAAGAACGGATGCACCGCTGTATTGGCTAGAAAATGTCACTTTCTGCATTATGCCAAAAGTGCCATTTTCGGCCGATATGTTTCGGCGAACGATATATCGGTGCATCCCTACCATTTATGTTAGATCCCAATATACCAAAGAATGTTGACTGCTGTTTTCCCTATCCCTACAATAAGCACCGGAATTGTATACTGCAAGTAGACCTGTTGACAAATGCTTAGGTTGTCCTTGAAAATGCAACTTTTGTGGCTGTAATACTGATTCATTAACTTCAGCAGATCAGATGTTTTCAATTCACTGGCTGTATACGTTTCCAAACTGTATACAGATACTCCTCGCTTAACGACTTACCTGTTTTGCGACCACTCGCACTTACGACCGTCCTCCGAGCGACCTCCGACCTCGCGCGTCAGCGCCAGTGCGACGTGTCGCCGGGGGAAGTGACGTCCTCCGTTCTTCACAGCGCGTCCCCGTGAGTATTTTCATTGCGCGATGTACAGTAAACTGTTCAGTACTGTACATCGGCAACGCTATACAGTACTGTACTAATGCAGTACAGTACTGTATAGAGTTCCTCACTTAACGACCAATTCGTTTAACGACCTGGTCGTAGGAACGGAACTCGGTCGTTAAGTGAGGAATACCTGTATTGTATTTCAGTATAGGTTTCCCTAATGCCCAACTCCAGCCAACATTTATTTTATTTTAGAAAAGGAAGGAATGAAGAGCTTTTGTTGTTGGGTGTTTTTTTTTTTTTTTTATTACTATGTTGTCCCTGTTTGATGGGGGAAAATATCTCCAATATTAACAGAATAAACAAAAACACATTTTTGGTGGTGAGCAGTGCAATCACAGTTCTGCGGGAAATGCACCTGCTGTATGTAATTACAAAATATGAAAAGAATGTTCAAAAAACCCCAATTGTTAAGAATGTTTACCTTAAACAGAGCATACGAATAGTAATGCATGGAAAATCTATACCACTCAGCATTTCTGTAGAGTTCTAGAGCCCTGAAAATATATTAAATGTTAGCAAATTCACTCCAGAAGTAAAGCTGCCATATGGGGTCTGCTTTTGCTGATACTTCAAGTTGCCAATCTACAGAAAGTCTTCGATAACTCGGAAGTCCTTATTATTTTTATACTTGTTGGTCAGTGACTCAAGGTATTAAAGGATTATTAAACCCTCAACGATTTTTGCATATGTCTACTGCTATGGAGCAGTAGATATATGCAAAAACATTAAAAAAAACAAAAAAAATTTTCAAACAGGTTAAAACTTACCTGTGTCTGCGCTGCGCGCTCCCATCCGAACATCTGAAGAGTCTTGGGCGTCTGCAAAGGATCTTGGGGCGGGTGCATGCGCAGTTCAGATCTTCGGCCGGGAGACGAGTAGAGACACAAGGCAACTCTATGGAGCAGCGTGCACCCGCACAGACTCCGTGGGACAGGAAGTGCCAGCTAACACAGGAGTCGGCGCTGGATCGGAGACCGGCACCAGTGCTGGAGGGACAGCTGACAACTACAATAACAAAGATGATCAGAGGCATCATTTAAGGTAAGTCCTTACACTAACATTGGGTGGGGGGAATTATCCTTTAATGTCACTTTAAAGACCGAGGCCACGTAGCTAGCACTTTCAAAAGGAGAGTTCAGCAACGGTAAGTGCCATATTTGTCCCATTTAAAGGTTATATTTAACTTTTTTTTTTTTTGTGCTGTGTACTTATGCTGCCCTCTACTGGCACATCTTGTAAAAGTAACAATAGCTGTTTCTATATGTGAAAGTTTATTATAGGGCACAATGTACCTTTTTTATAATAAGAATTAATCATTGACATACTGCAGATTTAATATGTCTTTATGTTCCTTGTAGCAAAGCCTTACTAAACAAAAAAGGTGTTATTACCAATAATCTCTTGTGTAAATATTTGTATAAAAATGACTTTTCTTTTAATATGCAGAAATCTTAATTTTTTCCCCCACTTTAGTTCAATAAACAAAACCCAGGAACACCAGATGTCACTGCTGGAAATAGACACACTCGCTCACGTTCTTTTAGTGGAATGATTAAGGTAAAGCTCTGCTGTTGAAAGCACAGCATCTGTTTTGTCAAATAAAATATACATTATATACTTAGTAGACATTTGGTAAATAAAGTGAATGTGTCCAGACTATGTACACTAAGAAACTTACATATTCTGAACAAGCAGGAAAATGGCTTTAAAAACCAGCCCTGATCTACCTCTGTAGCTATAGGCATCGTGGAAACATTTGCCCACAAAGTTCACAACAGAAGCACAGAATTTTTTTTTTTCCTCCTATACAGACTCTCTAGATTCTTTGTTGTGATCTTTGAAAATGAATTGCTTTGCTTTTTAAGCAGCTAGAAAGGTCAGGGGTGGCTTGCTATAAAACACTTTACAAATATGTGACCATAGTCTGAGAACAGGTGTACTTTAAAGTGTATTTCCACTTTTGCAGCCAACTTGGGACAACAGCTACCTATTTGTAACATGTTCCAATTCACATAGCATAACTTTAACCACTTCAGGATTCCAGACATAAGTCCTATGTCCAGCCCTGAAGTGGCTAAAACAAGCAGCCGTGAGCTTGCTTTTCTTTTTGTTCAGCTGGCTCCCGGGTTTTAAATACAGGTGAGTTGGGCAGCTGTGTAAACAGGAACACATAACAAATCTATAGTGGAGGCTTCTCAAATGTGACGGCAAAGGTGGAATTGTACTTTAAGATAAAGTGTTTATAGTGGTGATCATTAGTATGAGACCAGGAGCTGTGGGTGACAGCTCTGTCTCCATGCTGGGGGTGCGCTATGGAGTGTACTCCCAGAACAAAAACATAGCATTTATATGCAGTGCTACATATGTATGACTCGGCAGTGAAAGGGGTTAATTCACAGATGTTGGAACAGTAAGAGCGAGTCTTTCTTGTTAGTTGGCCCCTAAGGGGGAACATCTTGTTGAAGATTTCTTCATTAGTGAACTCAACAGACCACAATCTGGTTGCATACAGTGCAGGTGGGAGACAGGTCCACTTTAAACTTTAACTCCGTGCAAAGTAACAGGTTTGCTTGAAAGCTTGTCCCTTCTGCTGCTGCTGATAATTGCCTTCCTTGTGTCCACCCTTCGCACCTTTAAAATATTTGGTACCTTTTGGATACCAAATCTCTTTCCTCTTCCCTTCCTCCCCTTGGTAAAGCACTGAGTGCTTAACTGGCCAGTAAGTGGGTCCAAGTGCTGTTCATTGTGGTCCGTAGCACTGTGTCAAACCAGATCAACAGCGAGCTTAAAAAGGTTTTTTCTTTTTCCATAGGGCTCTAGCTGGCAAATATATGGTGAAGGAAGTGCTGGGAAGGTGCACATCAGCAGTGGAAGTGGTGGGCTATCAAATGTCTTAATCTGAATAGGCAAAAGTACAGAATCACTTGACACTAAACTCAAGAGTTAAAGCTTAAAAATAGGTTCAAGTATCATAACTATTAACAAAAATGTATCTTATTTGTGTATCACTCCGATGTAGATTCTCAAATCATCTCTGAATTGGTGCTGACACTGTCCTTCCTTCTGGAGGGGGGCTACTTTTGTTTCCCATGGTTCCTGTGTGTTGTAACGCAGTCACCACTCCAAGCTCACTCCCGAGATGGACTACAATCACACACCTAGTTTACTAATTTTTATTGGGATTGTAGTCCATCATGGGAGTGATTTTGGAGCAGTGACTACTTTACAACACACACAGGGACCATGGGGAACAAAAGTAGCCCCCCTCCAGAAGGAAGGACAGTGTCGGCACCAATTCAGAGATGATTTGAGGATCTACAGCCGAGTGATACACAAATAAGGTCCAGTTATGTCAATAATGAAGGTGCTTGAAAGCATTTTTAAGATTTAACTCCTGCATTTAGTGTCACTTTAAGGACTTAACAAATGAATGATGGTTCTACAAAGTCTGGGGTAAAGGACTAATGTAAATATTGACTTCATGATGGAGTTCGGAGTCTCTCTGAAAGCTCAGCTCTTTTCCCAGTTTGTCAAATTGTTGCTGAGGAACCTTGGAAACTGCTATGATTAGAGTTTTTATGGGCAGTGCTCCTGTTGAAGCATTACTCTCATGAACTTGGGGTGGAGTGCATGTTTAATTTGTTTAAAAAGCTGTGACAGTGCTGATTATATAATTATTTATATAATATAATATAATCTCTAACATCAC